TATTATTGCTTGCCCGGAAAAAAGTAAAAAACCTTTGGATGGTATGGCGAACGGGCTTAAGCGTTCGGATAGCGGCAAATGCATATTAGCGGTATTTAAACCCATTAAAGGGGCCGAAAAAAAAGCATTTTAAAATTATTTATTGGGGCATTAAAGCTTAATTGGTAAATATGGATACCGGGATTTTGCAATGTTGCAAAAGCAATATAACGAAAGGAAATTGTTAATTTTAATTGTAACAAATTAAACGAAAAAATTTAAAATTAACCACTTTTTAAAAGGGAATACCAATAATTAATTAGGAAAATATGTAAGGAAAATCGATTAAATGCCGTATTTAAAGGAACCAAAATTTCCGGAAATTACGTTTTTTTTGCCGGCGCTAAAGTTATTGCTGCTAAAATTGTTAACGCCGAAAGCGGCACTTTCCGGCGCCGATACAAACGCCGCACCCTTACGGGAAACCGCGCGGTTGTAAATTTGGGTATTTAAATGCGCCGCAATTATAGCAAAGCTAACGGCAATATTACCAAAAAAAGCAACCATACCTTTTTCGAAATGCTTAAAAAACGCTTTTATTTTGTTAAAACGGTTTTTAATAATAACCAAAGCTTAAATTTGCTTTTTTGTTTAAAAAAAAATGGTGCAAAAATATTGGAACATTTTTTAAATAACTTTTAATATTGCAATGCGGGCAATTTTGCGTTCGATGCGCTTTTAAACAACGGTTTAACGTTTGTAACGCGCAAATTGCTTAGCCGATATAATATAAAAAGATTTAACTTTTTAAATGGCTTTGCGGGCGCGAAATTAAGCTTTAATAAGCTTTTTAAAAAGCTTTAATATTGCTTTAAAAAACCGTTTGTAAATAACGTTTAAAATTTTATTAAAGTTTTAAGCCATTTTCCAAAATTATTTGGGAAATTTAATACAAGTTTTATTGCTAATTACGTTTTTGCAATAAATGCATTTGGAAAACCCCGTAATATTATTAAAGCATATCGGTATACGGGGGTTAACGGCATAATTTTAATATGTTTAACAACCAAAATAACGGCTATAAAATACCGTACGTTTCGTATAATTATTTTTAAAAAAAAGCAAGCAAATAAAATTATATTTGTTATTTTATTAAGCATTAATAATTTCCGGCGGCGGAACCGCATTGCAAATACCCATATAAAGCGAAAAAAAAGCGGTATCCGTTTCGAAAGTAAGTTTATAAAAGTTAAAAGCGCTACGGCGGCGCTCGTTACGCGTTTTACGCTTTTTTTTGGCAACGGTTTTTTTTGCCGCGGCGGTTAAAACCCGCCGGGGGGTTATTGGCAATACGCTTGTAAAAAGCTTAAAAAATTGCAAGCGCAAAAGGGTTTAATAAACCCGCGGCATTCGAAAGGCTTACCGAAAGGTTACCGGCAAAACGATTGTAAAGGATTTAAAGGATTGGAAATTTAAGCGAATCCGAATCCAACGGCATTACGATAGCCGGGAAAAATACCGGGGGGTTACCAACAAAGCATTAAACCGGGGCATAAAAAAACAAAAGGTTAAAAAAGGTTTGGCAAACCGAAATGTTAAGCTAGCCATAAAGGGCCGAAAAACCAAAAAGGGCCAGCGGGTTGGTTGGAACCGGAAAGTTAACGGGGGTTAACGGGTTAGTTTAAACCGAAAAACCCGAAGCAAATATTTAAAGGAATATTACTTTTTTTTACGTAATTAAGTACGAAAAATAACATTTGCAATTACCGGTTAAATCCAAATGTTTAAAAAAAGCGGTTAAATATTAATTACTTACGGTTACAATTGTTAAAATTGTTAGAATAATTATTAAAAGCGCAGGAAAAAAAGAAAGGCCCGCAACCGCAAAAAGGGAAAAAAAGCCTTTTTATATCGGTGCAAACCCATTTTTCGGGGTAAAGCAAAGCTTTATAACCGGTTTTTTTAAGCGTTGCCGGGCATTAACGCGGTTTAGCGGGATATTGTTAATTACCGGTTACTTACGGGATACCCCCGTGCGGCGTACGCGGTTTGGAACAAGCCGTATTAAAAAAGGGCAATATGTTAAAAGTACAGGCAAAACCGCCCGGCAAAAAGCGGGAAGCGTTAAATGCACGGGCAAAACCGCCCGGTAAAAAAAGGAAAAAGGCATTAGCATAATTGGCCGGGCACGAATTTTTCCGGTAACGTACCGGCAAAATGCCGGCATTGCGGCCAAAGCATAATAGCAAAGTTAAAAAATAAAATAAAGCTTAAATTGTACGAAAGCGCATAAAACGCGAAAAATTTAAAAAACCAACCCCGCGTGCCCGAAAAAGCACGAAAAAAGGGAAAGTTAAAAAAGGAACAATTTTTGTTAAAAATAGCACTTTTGGTAAAAAATTTACGGAGGTTTAACAAAAGAAATACCGTATTCGGCCCGTAACTTGGTAACCACCCGCTTTTGCACCGATCGACCTTTAATAACGTTGCGGCGGCGTTTGTTACGCGCTTTACGCTTTTTTTAGCGGCAATTTTTTTGCCGCAGCGGTTAAAGCCTGCCGGGGGGTTACCGGCAAAACGCTTGCGGGAATTTTAAAAGGTTGCAAACGCAAAAAGGCCCGATAAACCCGCGGCATTTAAAAAGCCCATTTAAAAGTTACCGGCAAAGCGATTGTTAAAAATTTAAAGGATTAAAAGCTTTAACAAATCCGAATCCAATTAAACCATAATAGCTAAAAAAAAATACCGGGGGGTTATTAAAAAGGCGTTAAACCGGGGCCTGGGTAACCGGGGGGTTAAAAAAGGCTAACGGGCTAATTAAAACCGAAAAACCCAAAGCAAGCACCCAACGGGAACCCAATTTTTTTACCGCGGCGGTTATGCTAAATAATATTTGCAATTACCGGTTAAATTTAAAAGTTTAAAAAAAACGGCTAAATACTAATTATTTACGGTTACGGTTATTAAAATTTTTAAAATGGTTATTAAATGCATAAAAAGGAAAGAAAAAAGGTTTGCAATTTTAAACGGAAAAAAAAGCCTTTTATATACCGGTACGAACTTGTTTTTCCGAATGTTACAAAATTTTACAACCGGTTTTCCCAAGCGTTGCCGGGCATTAAAGCGGTTTAACGGGATACCGTTAATTACCGGTTACTTACGGAACACCCCCGTACGGCGTACGCGGTTTGGAATAAACCGTATCGAAAAAAAGCAATATGTTAAAAGCACGGGCAAAACCGCCCGGCAAAAAGCGGGAAGCGTTAAATGTACGGGCAAAACCGCCCGGTAAAAAGGAAAAAAAAGCATTAATATAATTGGCTAAGTACGGATTTTCCCGGTAACGTGCCGGCAAGTTACCGGTATTGCGGCTAAAGCATAATAACAAAGCTAAAAAATAAAATAAAATTTAAATTGTACGAAAGCGCATGGAGCGCAAAAAATTTAAAAAACCAACCCCGCGTACCCGAAAGGGCATAAAAAAAGGGAAGGTTAAAAAAGGAACAATTTTTGTTGGAAATAACACTTTTAGTAAAAAATTTATGGAGGTTTAATAAAAAAAATACCGCATCCAGCCCGTAATTTAGTAATTACCCGCTTTTGCACCGATTAACCCTTAACATTTTTATGGAAAAGGCGTGGAAAAGGTAACTGTTAAAGGTTAATCGGTGCAAAAGCGGGTAATTACCAAATTACGGGCCGGATGCGGTGTTTTTTTTGTTAAGCTTCCGTAAATTTCTTACCAAAAGTGCTATTTCCAACAAAAATTGTTTTTTTTTAACTTTTTTTTTTCGTGCCCTTTTGGGCATGCGGGGTTGGTTTTTTAAATTTTTCGCTTTTTATGCGCTTTCGTGCAATTTAAGCTTTACCCTATTTTTTAGCTTCGCCATTATGCTTTGGCCGCGATACTGGTAGCTCGCCGGCATATCCCCGGGAAGGTCCGTGCCCGGCTGGCTGCCAGCGCCCCCTTCCTCCTTTTTTGCCGGGCGGTTTCGCCCGTTTTCCTGACAGTAGCGCTTTTGCGCTACAAAAAGGATGGCTCCTACACCTGGCGAAAAAAGGTTGTGAAATATTGGCTTTCCCCCAAAACGACCGTTTGATTGGCCGGAACGCTTTACGTAAGCGCGTGCGGACATGTTATGTGTATGAGGTGGGGCCTAGGGCACGTGAGTGCACGGCCCACCCCGATGGATAGACCTGGACCGCTGTCTGTGTGAGTCCAAAAAGCTTGACGCTCCTCAAAGGTGACCTTGTCATTGGCTAGGTGCTGCGCGGGCAAATGTGGGGTATGACCGGGCAATTGGCGTACCAAAATGGGCATGGGTCTGACAAAAACATGTCCTTCAGCTAGGGTATGTATTGGCTTGGTGCCGTCTTCGGGTTGTGGGTTCTTTAGGGAAGCGTGGAGTAGGAAGGGCGGGCGGGCATCGCGGCAAAAGAAAGGACGACACGCAGGAAAAAGGAAATTCCAGAGGCAAAAGCTGCGACAGGAAGGTGTTGAACCATTCGCTCCTTTACAGCAATCAAGCACGCTCGTCCTTCGACAAGCTTGCTCGGCAGAAGATCGCGCCGCAATACCAACAGGCCATTATCTGCCGGCAATATGCTCCTCAGCTATCTTTGCTAGCTAGGCGCTGGCGCGAGGGTTGCGAGGACACAGCAAAGCACAGTAGATACCTAGGTAGGTAGCCACAGGGCCATGGCGATCTACTTCTTTATCTCGGCCAATCGGCGGCATCTCCACGCGGAACTAACATGGTGTCATCCCGTCCCCCAGTCCTGACCCATGGGGAGTCAATCCTGATGGGATCCCAGGCGCGGGGTCGCGCTCCCATAGTGAGTCTCGGCTGGCCCATCACAAGGTCGGTAGTTCAGCCACGCCAGGCCCGACCGCGCGTGGCGCCTGTCCCTTTTGCTCTCTAGCCCTCTCACGCGGATCCGGCTGTTCCTGGTAGGCCCGCCCGTCAGTCGGCCCTCGCTTTGCCTCGGCGGGAGTAGGGGAGGTCGATCTCGGCGTTTGTGATGGCGGGGGCGCTCGCGATGGCGCGCCATCGGCAAGCCACGCGAGGGGCTAGAGCGCTCCCCCAAACCTTGCGATATAGCGTCAGGGAAACCAGCTGGAGGCATGGGCAGAGGCTTTTCCGAGGCCTTCGACTTCATCTTTATCTTCCACTGCGCCCGTCTGCCTTCTCGATGGCCACATATCTGCGAAACCCGCCCCATGTGCGGATCCCGTTGTCGCCAACGAAACGCAGCGTGCTCGGGAGCCGGCACGACAAGGATGCACGCTGCCCGGCCCGCCGCCCTGCTTCTTGTCACGGCCACCCGGGGATGGCCGCCGGGCGCCTCGGCGCAGGGCTCGGTGGAGGAGGCCTTGCCGCTCCTCCCGATATGCGCGGTATGTTCTTTGGCTTTCCCTCGAACCATGGCGGGCCAAAGGGCGGGCACGGAGAAAACCAGGGGCATAAACACCAATGACTCTTTTTCGCGGACTAACAGCAGCTCTGTGCCCTGCCGGCCGTCGATGCCTCTCTATGCTCCCTGGCAAACGATACGTGCGCCTGCACCGACGCCCCGCTCGCAACGATGTTCGGAGACTGCTGCGCCAGCACCCGCAAGCCCATGGACCTGATTCGTAATAGCTTTCTCCTGCCCCTTTTTACCTGCCGCGGACGGAATCGCTGACAGGGTCCCTCCGTCTCCCCGCAAAAGACACGCAAAGGGTGTTCAACACAGCCTGCGGCATCCTTCCCCGTGACAAGAGGGCTGAGTTCCACGCCAACACCTGGGCCATGCTCGTGGCGTGCGTCGCCGTCGTCGCCGCCCGCCTCGCGCAAAACAGGTTCCCCAAGACGTGGGCTTGGGACGACTTCCTCATACTGCTCTCGCTCTGCTCCTCCATCGCCTTCTGGTACATTAACATCTACGGCGTCGACGGGCTGGGCAACCTGACGGCGGTCGACGTCTGGGCACTGACCCATGATGAGATCACCGTCTTTCTGAAGCTGGTCTATATCTTCGAGATGCTCTATATTCCGAACGTTTATTTCCTTAAAACCTCGTTCTTGTTCTTCTTCCTCCGTATCTTCTGCCCGCCGGGATCGTTCCCAACCTTCCTCCGTGTTCAGCTCCGAACCCTGATCATACAAACCATGATCTTTAACCTTGTTTTCACTCTGGCTTCTCTTGTCATTGCCACCGTCCAATGCACCCCTGTTCGTTTCCAATGGAACGGCTGGGACGATGAGCACAACGGAGAGGGTAGCTGTCACATTGATCCCAGGCCGGCGATCTTGGCTAATGGGGTCATAAACATCTCTTTGGATCTTTGGATACTTGCACTACCGCTATCTCAGGTCTGGGGCCTCAACATGGGTATCTGGCGAAAAGCCGGCCTCACTATCATGTTCGCCTTTGGAGCCTGGTAAGAGCACCCCTGTCCCTTGCTCCCCCACGACAAAGCTGACAAGGCCAGCTCAACCATCGTCGCCGCCTTGAGCGCCCTCTTCCTCAGCAAGTTCCCTAGAAACGACAACGTCACCTGGAACAACGCGGACCTCCTCCTCTGGTCCTCGCTGGAGATCGCCGTCGGGACCGTATGCGCGTGCCTGCCCAGCCTGCGCTTCGCCTGCCTATCCCTGTACCGCAGCGTTTCCCACCTCCTGCATGGGCGGCCGGGGGGGATGGGCGGGAACGCCGACCGGCCCCCCGCGGCGCGGGCCCACATGTCGAGCCGCACAGGCACCGGGTGGTCTGCCACCCCCATCAGCCTGTCCATGCTGACCAGCGGGCGCGGCGGCGGAGGCGCAGGTCAGGACCGCTCGTCGCGCCAAGCGAGTAATACGCAAAACATGAGCACCGAGGCGCTGAGGCCGCATGGGCTGTCTGGTGAAGAAGGGCGATCGCGACCGCGAGATTAGCAGGAATGGGTAGACCAGCGGCACAGCGCGAGCCAGGGGGACTAGGAAAGGCCAGCGCGCGGCGGGCAAGGCGTAGGCTGAAGCGTACGCTTTTGGCTGCGCCTAACCAATCAGGATACAGTTCTGTGGGAAAGCTAATGTTCTAGGACCTGGTGTAGGGGATTGCAGGGTATGCAAAGCCTTTTAGCCAATCACAATGCCGTTAAAATGGAAAGCCAGTATTCCAGGACCTTTTTTTGCGAGGTGTAGTTTGCCGCCTGGATACACGAAAACAGCCTCTCAACCAATCACAATGCCGTTGAAATGGAAAGCCAGTATTTTAGGACATTTTTTTGCGAGGTGTAGGATATCACAAACACAACCTCTCAACCAATCAGAATGCCGTTTAGATGGAAGGCCAGTATTTCAGGACTTTTTTTGGGAGGTGTAGATTGATCACTCAGCCCCCCATGGATGCACGACAACAGCCTCTCAACCAATCAGAATGCCGTTGAAATGGAAAGCCAGGATTTCAGGACCATATTTCGCCAGGTGTAGGGAATAATGGCGGGACCGGCATGGATGCATAAAAACAGCCTCTGAACCAATTAGAATGCCGTTTAAATGGAAAGCCAGTATTTCAGGACATTTTTTTGCGAGGTGTAGGGGAGCGAACGGGCGACGCGCCACGCACCTTGGCCAAAATTGATCGGCAAGTCGATTTGGTATCTATCATCCCTGTTGCCCACCCAACATAAACTCCAAGGCTGCACGGCAGCATGCAGGTCCTTCAGAAAAGCCGAGTAGCCTAGGCAGAACAGAACTCGCCCACGCACGACGGGGATGGGGTCCAAGTTGGTCGGTCTAAGACCATGCGTTTGCGTGTACAGGCAAAATTACTACAAAAGAAATAGCACCAGAGAGCAAGAAAAAGAGGCTAACGTTTAGTGCTCCGCGGCGCCGGTTCCCGGGCGGGCGGCGACGGTGGGGTTGTTGTCGACGATGATGCCGACGCCCGAGGCGGGTGTGCCGAGGTTGATCTTGGGGCCCTTGGTTAGGGCCGCCTCGGCGTAGGTCAGGGCACGGTCGAAGCCGGCGCCGCCCTGCCTCTTCTGGACCTTGGCGGGAGCGGCGTCGGTCTGCTCGTCAGCCTCGTCCTCCTCGTCATCGACAGTGGCCTCGGCCTCGACCTCCTCGTCGTCATCATCCGCTTCGGGCTCGTCGCGCGGGCCGAGCTCTCTGCTGCTGCCGGGGATGGGGAGGGAAGCCTGAAAGGAGAGTGTTAGTTAGCATGCGGGCCGGGATTCCGACGGGGGGCTACCCAGAGCCAAGGAGGGTATGTGCCCGGGAGTGCTGTTCGTGAGGTTGGATGCGACGAGTCATACCTGCTCGTTGAGGATGCCAGAAGATACCGAGGCCTGAGCGGCGCCCTGGGGCGCGGGGGCTGCGGCGGCGGCGGCGACCTCGCGGGCTGGGGCACCGGTGCCGGCAGCGGCGGCGCGGGCGGCGCCAGCAACGCCGGCTCCCTGGAGGGTGTTCATGATCTTCTCGACGCCCGGGCCTCCCTTGAACTCGATGGCACCATCACCTACCACCAGCGCGGGCGAGTAGGCACCGAGGTTGATGTTCAGGGGCAGAGCGTTGGCGACGGCGGTGACGGCGAGGAGCCGGATGAGATAAGATTGGGAAATCATCTTGGCTTTTTGGTGTGTATTTGCTGTGAGGCGGTTGGCTCCGTGGAGTTGGTATCGTATTACAGGCGGCTAGGGGGCGGATTATGGGATAGAGTAGACAAGAGGTGATGACGACCAGGTCCACGCGATTATAGATATTAACGAGAGGATTGTGGGAATGAGGCTAGCTCAGTAATGCAGAGAAGTGAAGATCAAGGTGTATGTAATTCGGATACTAGCACAGCCAGAGAGTCCAGAGTTGGGAGGGACCAGAGAGAGGAGGACGGGGACCAGAAGAATGGGCCGAAGAGAAAGAAAAAAAAGAGACGAAACGATGAGTTAAAGTAGAACAGCCGGGCAGACACCTGACAAGAGCCGAGCTCGTGCCACGAAAGGGGAAAATCCCGGCGCATATGGGAAACAATAATCGTGAACGACAAGTTCGGTCGTTGAGCCCGCCCAGCCTCGACGTCGCAACCGACGCCTTTGCCAAGACCAACCCACGTCTGAGCTTCAGTATCACAAGCATTCCTGAGGGCCCGCAACGGCGCTACCTTGGCCATGCCAACTCCACCAGCAGGATCCCTGCCGGGATCGGAGAAGCAGAACATCGATCTCCCTTGGCGAGGTGGGGTGGGGGGGGGGGGGGGGGGGACGACGACGGAGGAGGGAGGGGACGGGACGGACGAACGAACGAACGAACG